ATAGAACCAGAAACAATGAGTTTAAACTGCAGCAAGGGAGGTCTAAGTTGGACATTAGGAAAAAGTTCCTAACTGTCAGGGTGGTTAAACACTGGAACAAATTGCCTAGGGAGGTTGTGGAATCTCCGTCTCTGGAGATATTTAAGAGTAGGTTAGATAAATGTCTATCAGGGATGGTCTAGACAGTATTTGGTCCTGCCATGCGGGCAGGGGACTGGACTCGATGACCTCTCGAGGTCCCTTCCAGTCCTAGAATCTATTAATCTATGAATCTATGAAAGTCTGTCTTTCCCAGCACCGGGGCCTGGAGTAGAGACTCCTTCTGCGCACAGAGAGCTCTCCCCGACCCCGCGCTGCTCTGTCCAGATCACTGTGTCCGGCTCGCCCTTCGTACACAGCTCCATGATGGGATCTGCTAGGGAGCTAAAGCGGGACACAAACCACCGGCACGGCCCTGCTGCCCCCATAACAGCCTGGGCCTGTGTCTTGGTTTGAGGAATGGGCCAATCTCTGATTGCCTGCACCATGGCCGGCTTGGGCTTTAGGCAGCCGCTTCCCACCTTATGGCCCTGGTACGACACCTCCGCCATCCTCACCTTTCCCTCTCCAGCTTTGATAGTGAGTCCTGCCTCCCGGAGACAGCCCAGACCCCTCTTCACCTGGGACACAGATTCCTCCCGCCCCAGGTCTGGCTAACAACACAGATACCATCAATGCCCACCTGGGCAAAGTCATCCACCCCCCACAGTAACTGACCCACCAGGCGCTGGAAGGTGGCAGGTGCCCCCTTGAGGCCGAAAGGCAGGACCAGGAACTCACAGAGCCCCATGGGGTGATGAAGGCAGATTTCAACCTGGCATCTGGGTCCAAAGGCACCTGTCAGTCGCCCTTGGTGAGATCCATAGTAATGAGGTACCGGGCGCCCCCGAAATTCTTTAGGGTCTCGTCAGGCCTAGGCATGGGGTAGGCATCGGACACGCCGATGGCCTTGAGCTTCCCACAGTCCACACAGAATCAGATCAGCCTGTCTTTCTTGGGGACAAGCCCCACGGGAGAGGCTGTTTACATAAGGAACCCTTGCCCTGCTGTTTACATAAGGAACCCTTGCCCTGCTGGCACTGAGATGCAGCCACCTCCATGTGGGGCATCTGTTTAACAGCAACTGAGGGAAACCTCCCAGACAGCTAATTAGAAAGAGTCTGAAACCAGAAACTCACCGACCGGAAACTTCCTGTTGTGC